GTAATTGGGATTGGGTAAGGGTAAATTATAAGCTCTTAAAAACAACAAATGTATTTAAATTGCAAGACTTATTTATTAATTTTTACTGTTATAGCTTTAATTAGATGTGGAATTATTACACTTTTGTCATCGGAATTTTATTTTAATCACTTGGTAAAATGGAATAAACCTTTCATAATTTTATTGACGAATTGTCAAATTTATCCAGACCAAGGGCAGGGCCGTGAGCTGAGTTATATAAACTCCAACTCGATTCAGGGCAAAATAGTCTAAGAAATTTCTTATTTCCATTTCACAATGCAGTGCCCGAAATGAGTTATTTTCAATTGGTAATATGCTTTCAAGTGAAAAATGATATTACTAGTAGTGCAGTTTACTAATGCTTGATATCAGGTTGTCTATAGCGATGTTTAATCTCACGCTCTTGTCGATACAAGGCAGCGCGCTTAACTATTACGCCATGGAACAACTATAGTGATGATTAACAAGGAATGGGAAAGGAATTCTTCACTTTGTGATGCTCTCAGACCATAGACCTGTCTTCGGACAGACAACCATATAATATTATTATTATTATTACCTTGTGAACATTCCATTATTAGTAAGATTGTTCTTAGTTTCTCCTGCCGGTATATTATCACAATTATCATGAGCCCTGCAGCATTTATCAGTTTCTCGTTCGATCCCCAAATCTTCGTAACTCGATGCCGTGTTTCCTGGACCACACCATTTTGTACCTGAAAAATAACAATTATAGATAACAGAATTAAAATAGACATAGATAAAGAGAAAAAGCGTGCTAACAAAACTATTCTGGAAAACGCGAGTTAACTATATTCGATTGTTCCATCTTGTGGATTTGAAGTCGCTGAATCGAGACAAATGAATTTTGATGATTGGCCAAAGATAATTAAAGGTTTTAGACAATTTTTACAACTAGATAGACTACTTCGTAAATAGTAGATAACAGAATTAAAATGGACATGGATAAATTCATGGATAAAGTTATAAAAGGCATTCTAACAATACAATTCTAGAAAACGTAAGTTAAGAGAAAAATGTGGAGAAAAATGAATTTTGATAAATGGCCAAAGATAATTGAAGATTTTAGACAACTTTACAGATAGACTAAATAGACTTCTTTGTAAATAGTAGATAACAGAATTAAAATAGACATGGAAAAATAGAAAAGTCATTCCACAATTGAAGATTTTTGACAATAATTTTTGCACTATCCTAAAACGACCACAAGTAAAACTAAAGAAATACAAATAAAGAATTAATTGACTATATAATTTGGCATTGACAGTAGTTTTGAGATAAACCAGATAAACCAACCAGAAAATAAATGATGATAATAGGTAAAAAAGAAAGTGAGGGTATGCTTTTGACAACAAATCCTAATATTTTTTGGAAAAAACAAGTTCCTTCTGGTTTTATTGATTATTTTTATAAATAACCATATTTCCTAGTCCCGGGATTAAACTTTGAACTGAAGCACTGCTTTTTAGTCAACTATTTTGAAGCATGTTATTAGGAAATTTGATGGTAATCTAGTGCTGTTAGATGGCGATCTTATTTAGTTCATAATAAAAACATATTGTTATCCAATTAAAGTTAGGAATACATTTGATTATCACAAAATGACCTTCCATCACTCCAATAGATGAAACTTTGTTTTTAAATAAAGCAGATAGACCAGCCAGAGGGTAAATGATGATAATAGGAAAAAATGAGAGGAAGGATATTGGTATGATTTTGACGAAAAATCCTGATATGTTTTGGAAAAAGTAAGTCCTTTGTGATTTTTATGAGTCTTTGTGAAATAACCATATCTTCTAGTCCTGGATTAGATTTTAAACTGAAGCACTGCTTTTAGACAACAATTTTTTGAAGCATGTTATTAGCAAATTTGATGGTGATCTAGTGCTGGTTAATGGTATTTTGTTAATAGTATTTTTTTAGCCTGATCCAGAGCTAATATTGGACACATATTGTTATCCAATCGAACTTGTATTATTACCCAGCCACGTAAAAAAAGCCATAAATGTTGCGTAGCGCCGCCAAATCCGTACGTACAGGTACGTACCCTGGAAGACACACAGTAGTATCTATTTCGCGGGCAAAAACGTAACGGTTACGTCGCACACTAATATGACGTGGTTGCATTTTTGCTACGTATCTAAGACCTTCACCACTCCAATAGATGAAAAGTTGATCAAATGAGGGAGATGAAAAACGAAGCCAATTATTTAACAGAAACAGATTTGGTTATTTGAATATTTGAATTTATATCAACTATATATTACCAGGAAATGCAAATGTGAGCTGCTGTCCTTTCTGCTTGATGTAGCTATCATCATCTATTGAAATCTCATTTGGTAATTTGGACGTCCACTCTGCATATCGCAATTTTGCATCATAATTTTTAACAAGAGTTGCGATTAAAATGAAACACAATATTGCTGATGGAATCCAAAACATTTTATATAATTTGAATAGTCTTTTAATGCACTAATTTAGAAAACACCTAAACCTATAACAATAATTTTAATGTTTTAATTCATTTCCTATAGGAACAGGAACAATATAAGAACTGTGATTCTTGTTCGTATAAAATTACTGGTAAATACATTTGTTTTTACAAAATTCCATTAATTTAAATATATAATAGTGCTTTTACATAAATATATGCACTTATTGTTTATTCATTACACTTTGGCTATATGAATAAATTCATTTATTCCAAATATTTTTAAAATTATTTCTTGTTAATTTTATAATTATCGTTAATTTTAGTGGGAATCCTTTTAAAATTTATGTTTATCTTGTTTGTTTTTTTATATTTGCACGTGGTTTTTGAATAGATAATTGTAGGTATATGGATTTTTATTAGTTTAATGATTTATTAATGAAATAATTAAATAATTTCAAAGTTACAAAAATCTGGTAATTTATGAATATTTTTTGCTACCACTATGGAAAATGCATTTCTTAGAAAAATACTTAATATTTATTTTGTTTTGTACTAAAATGTTAAAGTTTTTAAAATAACTTATACGTAAATACTTGATTCTATAAAATAACAATTTTAAAATTATTCATAGATAAAACATAGTGCATGGCATCGCGCCTTAAGACCTAGAACTTTTCGTACCAAAAATTAAAATTTGCAAAAACACATTTATATTTTGGAAAACTTGAGAAAATATTAGATCGTTGAGAATTTTGAATTTGCTAAAATTTCCGTTCCGAAAATTAAAATTTTTAAAAACACATTAACAATTTGGAAAACTTTCCAAATTAACATTTTTGGAAAACTTTGAAAAAATTAGATTATAGAGAATTCAGAAATTTTCGTGTCTCAAGCAAATTGCTAGAACTTCCCGTACTAAAAATTAAAATTTTACTAGCCGCGTCGCATACTAGAGAATGAACATTGATACGGAACCCATAGAAATATAAACAAAATATGTACTAATTATTAAAATCTCTATAAAATATCTGATGACTATGTCTGATGATCAATTTTGACTGCAAAATGGCTATTTTTTATTATTTTTTATTTGATCTCCGAAACTGCATGTTCTACCTTAACAAAAATTTAATCACTTCTTTGTTTTGTCAGTACATATAATATGTGTTTTGAATCACTCGAATCGGACACGCCATTCTCTCAAAAACTGAACTATAATTTTGGTACTTTTTGCCCCATATCTTCAAAACTGCTGGGCCTGCCCTCGCCAAAAACTAATCAGCACGTCTCCTTATTAATAGGAATCGAATAATTTTTGAATTATTCAAATCGGTTAAACCATGTTCTCGAAATTGTCGACAAAAAATGTATCCGCATATACATACACACACACATACACATATCATACACACATACCCATATACACACAGGCACACATGACCTACGATCTATGGAAAGAAAAATAGCGAATGGGACTTCGATAACATTCTAGATCTTTCCCCCACGAGGCAAGGGCAAAGCGAAGGTTTTACTCGGGATTATTCCTAGACGGTATTGAGTCCGGCTTACCCAGACAAAAGACTTAGTCTGGGTTGCATAAATGCATTTGCTTCGCTATAAAAAAATACACGCGTACACACATATACATAATTTTTTTCTAAGGTATGCCAAAATGTTCAGAAACCTCTGAAACGTAAAGATATATAAAAATTTCATTTTCGATTTTGGACGAAAAATGAAACTTAAACTCAAATAAATATTATTAACTTCCCGTATGGTAGTTATAGTAAAGGGCCTAAAATCGAAAATGAAAATTTTTACAGTGCTTCACATTTTGAAAGTTTCTGAACATGAGGAATGCCAAAACCTTAGATAAAATGGATGTGTGTGTGTATGTATGTATGAATACAATTTTTCGTCCACGTTTTCGGGTGCACGCATCAACCGATTTGAATGGTTCAAAAATCATTCGATTTTTATAGATTGGGAGATGTGCTGATTAGTTTTTGGCAAAGGCAGGTCCAGCCATTTTGGAGATAAGGAGTAAAGAGTGCAGAAAATACAAATCGAGTTTTTGAGTGAGCGAAAGACCTGATTTGAATGATCTAAAAACATTAAATTTGTAATATTTGAGAGAAGAGGTGATTAGTGTTTGGCAAAGGCAGGTCCAGCGGTTTCGGAGATACAGAGCTAAATGTGCAAAGAATGGCAGTTTATGAGAGAACTAAGCATCCAATTTGAATGGTTCAAACAACTTTCTACTTGTGTTGACGAAACAATTGATTTTGGATTTTTTTTATTAAAAAAAAAAATTAATATCGCCAACGATTCTTTTTTTTTCAAGCTAAAGTTCTAAAGCTCAATTATATACTTCAAATTAATAATTTTAACTTTGCACTTTAGTTTATATAATTCTTGTAAATATTATACAAAGTCCTTCATTTTAAATTGGAATGATTAAATTTTGTTTGTTTTTCTGTAAACATATATAAGTTACAGTATTTATAATAATCTAAAACATTTAATATTTCTCGAACATTTCGTTACGGTACAGGAAGTTCTAGCAATTTGCCTGAAGGCACGTTGCCATACACCACTAGTTTTTTTTTTAAAATAAAAAAAATATTTACGATGATGTTATTTTTAATGCATGTGAATTTATCCACTATTATTTTCAAACTAATTATTCTAAAAACTACTTAAACACTGCAACAGTTCTCAAAAAAATCTATTTTATATATCATTTACCACGTGACATTGAAAATTCAAGTTAGATAATGTATCATCTTTATTTAAAATAGATTTAGGGCACACGATTTAGGAAAGTGTTACGGTTTGAAGAAAAAAATGGTTAATTTTTCGGAATTACCTATTTATCAAATAAAACATTGATTAGTGAGAATTTCATAATGGCCCGTTATCGCGTGGGTGTACGTTTAAGGAATTTTTAGTCGTTGTTTAAATGCCGACATTCGATATTAAAATCATGTTCAGTGATAAGAATATGCTGAAAACAATTTAATCCTATAGGTGTAGGAAAAATTTTGACCTAGTCTCGAGTTGGTGGACTCATTTTAAAGGACTTTTAAATCTGATTGCAAAAAATATGTACATCTTTTTATATGATAGTACTTATACATTTTAATTCTTTGTTACGTAGCCGCCACGTGCAATGCTATAAAAATAGTGTAAGATTGCCTAAGGAAATAATTAAATATTAAATTAAAAGAAAATGGTCTTTGGAGTTTATTGAATTTCTTATGAACTTCCCGTAGGGTAAGTTATTAAAAATTGATATTTTTTGCATATCTTTACGTTTTAAAGGTTTCTGAAGATTTGGTATATCTCAGAAAAAATTGTTGTATGTGTGTGTATGTGTGGATACAATTTTTCGTCCACGTTTTCAGGCGTACGGATCAAGCGATTTGAATGATTTAAAATACATTCGATTCCAATTGATAGGGAATTGTGCTGATTAGTTTCTGGAAAAGGCAGGTCCAGCGGCTTCTGAGATATGGAGCAAAAAGTGATAAAAATGTCTATTGTTCAAATCGGTTCAAATTTGGCATATTTTTTAAGCTTTACCGCTAATTAAAAGAAAAAAGCTCGACTGATGGTCGTGCAAAACCGACAAACGATAGTCCTCATCTTGTTGCATCGAATGGTTTATAAATTTTTGAAATCAGTCCATCCGTTTTTGAGAAAATGCCGACGAAGGATCAAAAATACACACCCATACTTTTTCATAACAGCTAAGGGCGCACATACAGAGACACATACTTTTTCATGAAAGATAAGAATAAAATCAACATTCTAGATCCTCCTTACCTACATGAATCTCGGTAAGGACTGAAATTGATTGGTTTTGCGAGACGATAGAACGAGCAGTTTGTTTATAATTAGCAAAAAATAAAAATTTCGTTCGCGTTTTAGCTAAAAATCCTAATTTGAATTTATGAATTCAAAAACTGTTGGAAAGATATTAGTTGGGAAAAGATTGAACACCCGTTTCTTCCTAATAAAATAATAAAAAAAAGATCTAAGCAAACATTGTATTGTATTGTGTAGTTAAATTATAAAAAATGTTGGTTAAAAGTGATTAAAATTTAGAAATGCATTCATTTGAAAGTTTCGAATAATGGACTGCGCTTTTAGATTATGCAATACAATTAATATAATTGCAGATTGATTGCTTGAGAGATATCAATCGTATTGATTATTTCTTATGAAAATGAAAATTTTATTTTTGCAATAAACAGTTAAAATTTTATCTAAATGGTTAAATTTCAAATCTTATCGATGCACCAATGGAGTCAATTATTTACTCATATCGAAGAAATTTATGCAAAATAAGGAAAAATATTAATTTCATCTAATTACATCATGTTGGTGTATCTTAATAATTAAAACTCGTATTTCAAATTATATATAAAAGTGATATCATTATAAGACGACTATAATATACTTTATCAGCCTTATAACCATGGCTAACACTTGCAAGTGTTTGGGCTCCAATTTATTTTGTTAGAACATGGTTAAGAATTACCACCCACCAAAAATTAGTTAAACATCTTGTAATATTTCTTTTTTCAAAATATTAAAGAAGTTAAATAGACCAACAGGGCGTATTAAAAGAGTAATTGTACAAGATCCTATCGAAAGAAAGATAAAACGTATGAAAAAAAAATTGAATAACGCGTGATGGGAACAAAAATAGTTTTTAAAATTAATTTTATGATCATAGATCTAGAATTCTTTTAGACTAGAATAGTCTAGTCTACGATCTTAGAATATTCTTAGAATTTTTGGAACTTGTTATAAAAAATATCAATCACTTTTAGTCATTATCATTACAATATTATTATATTACACAAATATCGATCTAGTTAAAAAAAATAGTAGAAATTGAAGAAGAAGCAGAGCAAGAATTTATAAATGACAAATGACCAATTTAAGAAAGTGTATTTAAAGAAGTTATGAGAAAAGATTGATTTTGCACAAAATCTGAAGTAAAAGGTAAGATAATAATATTTTAATTTGACAGAATTATTCTTTTCTCTAATTGAACTATGTTTGTTGCAGCTATTTTTTATAAATAACAATGCTTGTATCTAGAACTTATGCAAGTGGAATTTACAAAAAAAATCACATACTGTACTTAATATTCACTAATTTTCACTAAACTTAAAACAATTATTACTAAAGATTAAAATTAAAAATTCAGCAAAATATTATTCCACAATATAAATTGGAGGAAAAGGAAACTAGATATTATCTATGTACACATTTCAATGGAACAATTACTTGTATCATTTATCTTTGAAATGAAATCAATCAGAATAAAACATGATTTACTAAATCATGCTTTATAATGAACCATACCAAGGCCAGGATAGTTTTAAAATAATTAAAAAAAATTATTTAAAATAATATATTATATATGAAATAAGTATTACATTTATGATGTACAACATATTAATATATTAACATTTAATTGGTGGGTTATAACCGGACCGGTGTTATTTATATAAATGCTAAAATGATGATTATAAACTCAAATATGTATTCTAGTTATAAAAAATAACAACCATTTTATCGCAATGACTTCTAGTACAATTATATACTCATGACAAGTTATTTATGTGAATGGCTTGTGAGTAATTATTTAATTGCCTCCGAGAGGTTGTCCTGGACCCCACCTGTGTCCACCAAATGCCGGTGCAGCTGGTGCTTGCGGCCTTTGAATGTTCTGCGGTGCATTTCCTCCAAAACTGTAGACACCACCTCGGGTTTCTGGGAAATATTTTTTCCTGAAAACAATTATAAAAATTCAATTGGGAGATTATAGATTAACAAAATGATGAATTAAATAGATGAGTTAATGATAAATTCAAGGTCTTACAAGGCGCTAGGTGTTGTCAAAAGCTGTGCACCGCCATATTCCTCTGGATATTTGTACATGAGAAAGAAATAAAGATGTCCAACTAAAATTCCTGATAACTCCATGAAGCCACTGTAACAAAGTCAAGAATAAAAATGGATAAAAGGTAAAGATCTCTAAAACTAATTTTGTATTCTTGTATCATTTTATCACTTACCCTCCTGATAAAACTAGGTTTACACCCAACAGAACCCAAGGCAAATACATTGCAGGAAATCTTGTGCCGAACCAGAAGTTAACTATAGCCTCTCTGTTCAGTTGACACCAGACATACAAAACCGATAACACCATTGGATCCATCAACAACTGCAGGTAAAGGAAATATAATGATATTTTATTTTAACAGAATTATTTAAGAGTCTTGCTTTAATTTAATTCAGTTGGTACATAACAATTACTACCAATTTCATGCTAATTGTCTATTACAACTTACAGGCATTTCCTTAAATAATGATATGATTACGCAACATGCCCAATTGAACAACAACATGAAGAAGTAGTCGGCAGGGCGTCCTTGGAATGCACCGGTTTCTAATCTAAGCGAGTAGTTGTATAAAAAGTAACAATTTATCATGAAGTGGAACCCTGTGGCCGGGTTGAGGGGGTAATAGAAAACTGCTGTTAATGGTCTCCATATCTAAAAGGTAGATGCAATTTTTGTATGGTTTACATCAAGATCTTCTAGAAGTAAAATTGTATAATTCTCTCAAGAATTAGGATTTTGGACTTCGAAATTTACTTATTATTACCTGTAGCTCATTTATGAATTTCTCACTAAGTAGATATAAGTATTCGGGCTTTAACAAACCAAAACGTCCTAGTAAACTAAAAGCTAAAGTTAAACCTAACCAATGTCTTGTAAAAATTGGAAGGTTTTTAAACCACTGTCCTATGTCAGTCATTTTTTAACAATTATGTATTCGTACTCCTAATATTACATATATTAATCTTTATTATTTCTTTAATTTGTTTGATATCAATTATTTATTCACATTTCACTGAATATTCGATGACAAGTGTTTTACACGCGTCTAATTCTGCTTGGTGAAACTGACATTTAACACCATAGATATTCGCTATGTGTGAAGGCATAGATGGGAAACTCAAATTGACTGAAGCGCTTTTAGTGGTCATTTTGAGCACTACGGGAGGCTATTATAACCGAAATAGTGAACAAATTTGCATGAAATATTATTTTATTTCAAATTTAAATAAATTAATGTAGTCATTTTTTTAATGGCAAATTGCTGGTACTTTCCGTACTAGAATTATATATTCGAAAAATAAAAATAATCAGTCAACAAAAATGTCTGAATAAATATTATAAAAACTAGATTTTTCATTATTTGTTTCTCGTAGACAAAATATGTAAATTTGTTAGATTAGACGACGTTTTTCATATATGTTTGAATAAAATATACAAACAAAATCTAAGTAATCGGACTTGTTATTAGAATGAACATATATTATTCCAAATGCGTCAATTTTTCGTTCGCAAAATATATGCACTGAGTTAACAATTTTAAATATTCGTGTAGTATCAACTGTTCAAACATAAAAAATACAGCCGTGAGATTTGAACCCGATCAGTTTTGAATTTCTTATCTACTAACGCTATGAGCGGACGTCTGGAATCTAATCGGAATTTTTGCGCTTTTTGCTCTGTATCTTCGAAACGGCTGGACCTGCCTATACCAAAAATCAATTAGTACGTCTCCACATCAATACAAACCGAATTCTTTTTGAATAATTCAAATCGGCCGTTTTGTTCTCTCAGAACTTGCTATCTTTGGCACCTTTTGCTCCGTATTTTTGAAACGACTAGACCTGCGTTAGCCATAAACTAATCAGCATGTCTCCTTATCAATATAAATCGAATATTTTTTGTATTATTCAAATCGGTTGATCGGTGTTCTCGAAATCGTCGACGAAAATTTGTATCCGCACACACACGCATACATCCATTTTGATGAATTATCGTATGATTGTATTTGTAGTGACCTTTTCAATGGATGTAAAAAATCAGAAGAGGTGTTGACTCCAAGCTACTTTCTAACAATATTTCCTTCAATTTACAAGTTTCGAAAAAAATGTAGTTTTTTTTCTTAGTCATTGTTTCTAACTGCAATTTTATTTGATGGGTGATGGACTCAAATCATGTCCTTCGACCAAAATTTTGACCAAAAATAATTTAAAAAAATGAGTAAATTAAATTATTATTTACTTATTTTATTGAGATCATTAATATAATATTGTTTTTAAGAACTATTTTGATATTTGACATAAGTTTTAAGCAACTGAACCTTATAAATGTTTACTGCATTTCTTTTTTATTTTATCTTCGTACTTACCTGTATTTTAAGTGCCTTGAAGAAAATTTTAAAATGTCAATAACTTGTCAACTTTCACATTAGTTGTATCTTGTTTATTATTATTTATAACATTTATTTAATATCTTTTTTCTTTAACAAACATATTAAAACACCTGAAAAGCGCACACTGATTAGTTCCTCCCTTAGTTCATATTTAGTCTGGCGCTGTAGGCACGAATAGTGCAAAGAAAATTATTCCATGTTTCATATCTCTAAAAACATACTTTATGCTTCAAATGTCAAATTATGAAAATGGTTGTTAAAAAGATTGTTGATTATACTAGATTATTATTTAACGCACTATTATTGTAAATATTTACTGTGTATATGTAAGTGAGCGAAAACATTTAAAAATGTCAGAAGAAACAATTATGTCTATGAATGATCAGAAAATTAAAATGGAGCCACCAGAATATTCAGTAAAAGACATTAAACACGAAATTGAGGATGAATCATATGTTTTTGATGCTAATGTTAAATCTGAGGAGTGTTCTGAGGATGATGAAACGTGTTTAGAAAGATTTACGAATTCTGAGGTGAAGATTGAAGAAGAAGTCGAAGAGGAGTCAATCGAGACAAACATTTATGAATGTGGCATTTGTAATCAATCATTTGAAGAATCAGATCATATAAAAGAGCATATGATCGAACACAGGCCTAGACATAACAAAGAACGCCCTTTCAAATGCGGAATTTGTCATAAAGCTTTCAAACAATTAAGTCATGTCAAAACTCACATGATTGCACATTCTAAAGACCGACCCTATAAATGCGAAATGTGCAATGCGGCATTCAAACAATCAATTGTTTTGAAAAAACACATGCTGATGCACAGCGGTGAGCGCCCCCATGAATGCGCTATATGCAATAAGACATTCAGATATTTAGATCAAATGAAAAAACATATGCTCACTCACAATGAAGAGCAGCACTATGAATGCATCATATGCAATAAGACATTCACAGTAGTACGTTATTTGAAAGTTCATATGAAGATACATAGCGGAGTACGCCTCCATGAATGCACTATATGCGATAAGCCATTTACACAATTAAGTAGTATGAAAAGACACATGCTGACACATGACAGAGATCGTTGTTTTAAATGTGGTACTTGCAATAAGGAATATACCGAGTTATACACATTGAAGAAACACATGGAAAAGCACTGTGGAAAATCTGCCGTGTGAATAGAGATCTGTCGTTGCATGAGTCATTTTATTCTTATTTATTCATGGTATGCATACTGATATCAAACTCAAGTCTTTTAAGATCATTTACTAATAAACATTATTCAAAATTGTTTTATGATGTATTTATTTTTAACTCATTTCGCACAATAGCAAAAAAGTTTTACTTCAATCGCGTGTGACCCTTACGCGCACTCTTTTTTGTTTGCCTTATTAAATTCTATGACATCTCGACATATACATTTATATATCCAACAACAACTGTTCTCGTTCAAATGTCAAAGCTTTCAATTTTCAAGCATGAATTGGTATTCACATTTATTACTCTAAACGAGAAATTGAGCACAACAATAGTTTGTGTAGCTGTGCATCATTTATATACAGATATACTTCATAATGGACATCCATGCAATTTATTTATTGATAGTATCAATAAAAATTTTCAAGATTGTTATAAGTTCATTGCGTGAACAAATATTATAGAATTTATTAATCAGCAATTACTTTATTTCTCTAATAAAGGTTCAAGTCCTAAATGCTATGTCTGAAGTGTGACTTTAATTACAATATTATTTTCAAACATAAATATTTTTAATGCTACTATAAATATATATTTTATAATTTATTATTATATAAGTATGTATAATGTTTGACATTAAAAACTGTGTGCATCGTGAGTGTTACGATATTACTATAAAACATTATTCAAAATTGTTATATGATGCATTTACTTTTAACTTAAATACTATCTCTTACTATAGCAAAAAATTTTACTTCAATCAGTAATTGACTTTGCTGGCCTTCATTGTCACAAAAATTATTCAAAACACAATTTCTCAGATAAATACAACTCAAGTTTAAATACAACTCAAAATTAAATAAATAAATTCGAATTCTTAAATGTAAATGTATATTTTATCCTTGCATACAACTAGAATTAATACATGTAAATATGTTGAGGTTCACAATGAATTTGAGGATTATGTTACTTGTAATGGTACCTGTAAATTATACTGAGGTTATTAGTTCCTGATAGTTGAGGTTATACGGTAGAGGTATATGATTATTATCTATGCAACAAAATCTAATGGTCTGTTGAAGCCTCCTTTGCGATTCATGTATTGTCGATATTTACGCTTCAGAATGACATGTACTTCTCCAGTATCGTTCCCTGGGACTTTTTTACCTTTAGTTGTGTCGAAACCACAGAAACCCATCATTTTCATCATTTCTTGTTCATCGGGAGTTTTACCTTCTAGGTCAGCTTCTGTGATTCGGGGTCTTTCACTGACTTGGACGTGGGATTTTCTGTCTCTGGGGTTACGGGATTCAGATCTGGACCTGGACCTGTGTCTTTTTCCTGGTGATTTTCTACGCCTGTCCCTGGAACGGGAACGGTCCCTGGAGCGTTCCCTTTTTCGTCTGCGGTCTTTTTCCCTGTCGTTACGATCATCCCTGTCATTATTATATTGTCTAGGATCTCGGTCTCGAATTCTGTCCCGGCGTCTGGGTGACAACGATCGTGAACGCGATTTAACCATTTATATAAATTTCTGTCAAGTCATAAAAACTAAAGCTTTATTTTCGAGCCAAAAATAAAAGAAAAGCCATTCGAAACAATATTTGAAACGATAAACAACTTCAGATTTACAATTTTGACAGTAGTGTTGCCAGGTCATGTACGCGCATTTGACAGCTGACATATGTCTATGTTCACAGCTGACATATGTCTATGACACATTTGACAGATGAACTTACAAACAAAAATAAACACGACAGAACTAAATAATCGCGCAAAACTTCTTCGCTTTAATTGTAAGCGAAATTTAATTCAATTAGCAATTTGTGCAATTTAATATTTGTTTCATAAAATGCATAAATAATACTTTACTATAATTATTATTACACCTTCGTTACCTTTAACCTTCATTGCTAAAATTTATAAAATGGTTTGTGATAAATGCGAGAAGAAACTAGGAAAGGTAATTACACCTGATCCTTGGAAATCTGGAGCAAGAAATACTGTTGAATCCGGTGGTAGAAAAGTCGGTGAAAATAAAGCTGTGACTGGTTCCAAAGCCAGGTTTAGTCCTTATACAACTACCTTCCTTACGTGCAGGTAATTATCATAATTCATATAAATTATGTTATTTATTTTACAAAATATAACATATTTTTGACCTATTTGGTCCTATTTCCATACCCCTGAAAAGTTACTGTCAAAATCAACTGAATGGAAAGCAACAAAACAATTTTTGGTATGCGAGATGTATAAGTACAAATTTTAAAACATTCTGATCAATCTTTAAGGTAGTATACCTAATTTTGATCAAAAGTTATATAGCTTAGTATTCTGCTTAATGTGAAGGTTACCTTTCTACAAAGTAGCAAATTGGCAACTAAGTGATTGTAGATGTTTGTTCAAAGACATTTTTTTCTTCGAAGTATGTAATTTCGTTTTATAATCCATTGTCCATTTAACTTTGTAGTATTTCAAGCAGCATTATTATCTCACTCTCATAAAAATTGTGGTTTTTAGTAGCAAAAAACTGAATCAACGACAACTTGTCACCATTTGTCATTCCGTTGTCAATACTCCTGTGCTGATTGATTCAATGATTGAATGATTGTTGAATTGTTTATCATTGAAGGAGTTTTATGGAAATTGAAACGAAATCAGAATCAGAAATCTTAAAACATTTTGATCAATATTTATATGATAGTACCTAATTATATTAAAATGTAACATCGTTTAGTATCCATAATACGAAGATTACGTTTCTACAAAGTATCGTTTTTGCACCTAATGTAGATATTTGTTATAAAATTAGACATTTTTTTCATCGCACTAAATAACTTCATTCTTTAACACATTGTCCATTTTGATCAATGACTTTTTCATCTTTCCAACAGCATCATTATTCCACTTTCATAAAACTTCTGGTTTTTATTAGCAAAAAACTGAATCAGTTACCGTTTCCCACCATCATAATCATTGATTTTACCATCGAAGGAGTTTTGTAGAAATCGAAACAAAAAGTAATCAGAAGATCAAGGCCATATACTGGATGCAGCAAAATGTCTCAACTAAGCTCCAATATTGATGTCAATAATGGCTTTGGTTTATCAATTCAGGGCTCTTTTCATTAACTGCGTTTTTAATTCCATTAGTTGTTTAATGTAGATATCAGCATTGATTGTTCGGTTGAGTGGTAAAAGTAAAAGTAGACAATTTCTTTGTAGCCAACCTTAATTGGACAACCAGAGTGTTTTTATCTTTGAGTGAAAAATCACCAGAAAGTATATTGCAACTCATATTTTTTTGTTATCTTAAGATGCCTTTTTATTTTTGCAGAAATAAAATAACACAATAAGACTACAACATTTGATTTAATTTCAAACTTTTAATGAACAAAACTATGCAATTGATCAAGAAACTTTTTTTTTACGGATTGATAGCTGAATTCCCTCCTGAAATGAAGTAATTGCTGATTAATAAATTCTATAATTTTCGTTCACACAGTTATCTTATAACAATTTTGTATAATTTTATTAACACTTGCAATAAATAAACTGCATTGATGTATATTATGAAGTATATCTCTATATAAATTATATATTAAGGCACGATGCCATGCACTATTAGTTTATATTCATATATTTACCCCATTATTTAAGGAACCCCTTGCTTAAATAAGAGCGTTAAGCGGGGTATTCTGTATTTCATACCTTATGATCTAATATTTTCACATCTATCAAATATGTTGCCCCTCAAAAAGAAAAAAAAATCACAACTGTATCTACTCTGTAAGTTGATTTAAATACAAGGTTCTACTTATAAAATATTCTATTGCTAATTTTAATTAAAATTAAATTCAAAATAATAATTATATCAAACTATTTTATTGACTATGTACTAGGTCTAAGATTAACGCTTTGCTGAACTCCGAAAGTTAAAATAGTAAAAAAGTATTTATTTTAGAGATAATATTTTTGTTTCAAATTCAGTTAAAATATAATGCTTGAATATAAAATTCATTTAAATCATTATTATTTCAGTTTTATTGTAAGTAATTAACATTAATATTATTCAGTTAGAATATTAAATTATAATTTTTCTCTTTCAGAATTTGCAGACAGAAAGTTCACCAAGTAGGCTCGCATTACTGCCAATCGTGTGCATATAAAAAAGGAATTTGTGCAATGTGTGGAAAAAAATTATTGGACACAAAAAATTATCGGCAATCTTCAACATAATAGTATAAGGTATCTAAAATGTATCATACTTTAAAAGAATTTGATTGCTGATGAAATAATTGTATATTATTTACATCAAATTTGTATTTTTTGTTTTGACGATCTTACGATAGAAGTGATTCTTTATTTATTGTAATAACTGTAAAATATAAGTTTATATTTGTATCATTGTAGAGGAAGCAAAGTTTCATTTTATTTCTAATATATATTTATTTCAGCTTAAAAATGTTTATATTTACATAAAAAGACAATTTATGGTACAATTTTTAGAGTATTGTTAATAACTATAAAATATTTGCCAATATTTTTAAATACACATATTATATAGTACGATAACTTTGTCCTGTGATGTCTTATATACACATATACATGGAACAAAATACAATAAAAATATAAATGATTATTTATACACAAATATAAATTTAGATGAGTAAATAATATGGCCAATATATATTTTTTGAAATTTAACTTAAATCTTCTGTTTACTGCACTAGAATAAATGATTATACATACTTTATAACAAAATATAAAATTATTAGTTATATTACGATATTACACTTGACTTTAAATTACTATTACACCATAATTTAATATTTCTGCAAATTAAAAATATCTTATTTTGTATATAATAAAATTATTTCTGGATATATACATTTGAAGACATATGGGGCAATTCTGCGGTAACAGAGCTCATAAAATAGCGTTGTCATGGCAATGGGAAAATTATGAAAATGTCCTATCTATTTGCTGGGCGATCAGGCGTATTTTACATATAAACAAACAAGGAAAAATCTCACGATAACTGCACCAACTGGAATTCTGTTATAATAACATTATTCCTTGCTTGTTTACATGTAAAATACGCGTTATTGCACGGCAAGTAAATTGACATTTTCATAATTTCCAATACCAAGAACAAGCATAAGGGAATGTTGCCATGACAAAGCCATTTTCTGAGCTCTGTTATGGCAGAATTGATCCCATAATTTGATCTTGGAAGCCCAAAATTTTTAATAAAGTTCAGAATCAACTTGACTAAAGTTTTTAAATTAAATATTAATAAAAACTATTTAATAAAAATAATCTAATGTTTAACAGACGTTGACTTAAAACTCCTATAAAAAGAATCTTGACTGACAACAATATATAAATATATGACTATAAATTACTTTCCACTCGGATTCCTAGAACTCGATTTGATTGATGTGACACTCACGGTCTGTTTTCCAGGAATTTTGGATACTTCTGTTGCTTTTGTGGAGTTAAAAACTGGAATCTTCGAAGGACTTGTATTAGTTTTCGTGGGTGAAGTTGTTGGTTTAGGGATGTTTGATTTGAATAGTTCAGCGTTTTTCTCAAAATTTGACCTCAGAAATTCAATTTGGGATAAACGTTTTTCGGTTTTCGGTTGCTCATAAGTAGATGTTGAGAATTTTATTTCAGCATTTTTTGCATACTCAAATTTTGGTTTTATATCCTCCTCTTTATCCGTTTCACTTGACTTGAGTTCGAAGATGTCTAAATCTGCGTTGGAGTTGTTGATGCTTTTGAATTCGTAAATTACTGACTTTGGTGAGTGGTTGATTATTTGCTGCTCCATTTTTTCAACTTTTTTCACTACTTCCTCCTTGTTTGGCGTGATTACTTCTATTTCAGTAATGTATGTTTTGTGATTTCCATTTACTGGAGGATCTTCCTTGGGGCTGCTGGCCATTTCTACATCATTTGTTTCCGTATTGACACAATTTGTCTCAACATTGACACCAACTGTTTTTAGTAACAAATCAGCTGTATCGTTTATTTCGTTAAAATTGATTTTGCTCAAACTGTTGGGCTCTGATTCAATACAAATAATCGACGACGGCTGACTATCCGTTGTTACAATAGTCATGATGTTTTCATTATTTTGATTTTCATGCTCAACTTTCTCATTTTCCTTTGAAATAATATTGATGCTATTCACTCCTTTCACATCGGATGTGAAAGTTGGTGAATTTGAATGCGCATTTACTTCAAATACTGGTGTGTCTTGGATATAAGTCAAACTTACTGGTTGGGAGTATTTAACTTCATCAATTTGATTCACTTGTGAGTTGTCAGTGTTGAAGTTTGATACCATAGTAAAAACTTCTGATCTTGGTCTCTCCAAGCTGTTAAATGAATGCCTGGATACTTTTATATCATCGGATACATTAGTTCCGTACATTTGCAAATTTTCATCATCAACGTTATTTTTTTGGTTCAAAACAAACGGTGGCGTATCACTGAAACGGAACTGGAATTTTGAAATATCTGGTGTGTTTGAAGTGTATACCATTTCAGTTTTTTGAACCACAATATCAGCATCACTTGGAGTGCTTGGTGGCGTACTAATTTGTGATATGTCTTCCAAGTTACCCCATTCAGTAGATTTCTTCAACCTGTTTACTTGCTGGAAGCTATTTGGAGCATCCATCACCAAATTGGTCATCAGTTTTGGTTCTTTACTATTGTGCTCCTCCAAATTTTCAGCGTAAAACTCTTGAGGACCATTTTGAGCCTTGCGTTTTTTAGGAGTTAAAACTTGCTCGTTCTGGTCAGATATGTCCAAACTTTGAGCTCTTTCCAAAGTACCATTAGTAGTAGTCATTTTTTGAGAAATGTTGTTTAAGCGTGATAAATCACCCAAAGAAGCTGTTTTACGTGTTTCATTGTCCATATCTTGATGGTGTATAGTTATGTGACTGGAGTTCAATTCAATAGTAGTTCCACTTTTGGATTCGTCTTGCATTTCTGTATCAGAATCTGATAAATCATCCTTACCGTTGATATTTATTTCGCTGTTATCAATTTGTGGTATCTCTTTTTTAGTGCTTTTAGGAGTCGAACTGTTGGATGGACGATCGCTTAAAATTATGCTATCATCACATTGATTTGCTTTCAAAATTTTAGTTTCGGGAACGTTTTCAATTAGGTCAAGGTCCAGAACCTGGTGCACAGTAGTATCATCATCATGGGTATTGTCAGTGACATCAATGCTCAAATTGGTGTTCATGGTTTCCGTTGATATATCCATATCAGTATCGGTATGATTAACGTTTTTGAATTCAAGAACGTGCTTGACTTCCATTTTTTTCTGAGCATCTGGTGGAAGTGGAGCTTTTCCTTTGGACTTCTTGACAGACTTAATAGTATTTTCGTCGTCAGATGTTTTAACGTGCACATCACCAGCTTTAATTTTATCCTTGTCTGGATCTTGGGGTTTAAAAGTACTTTGTCCGCTCATGAATTGTTCTCTCAAGTCTTTCAAGTTCATCTCTGACTCGTAAGGCTCTGGTGTGTTGCTTGTATCAGTTGAAGGATCTTTGAGATTGTCTCCGGAACTTTTGCGATTGGTTCTGGCAGCAATTGCTGCTTGCAGCATGTGCTGAGGTATTTCTTGGGGAATTCCAGCTTTGTCTCGTTTTATGCCACTTGAGTTGATACTGCCATCACGAACAAAGCCTTCTACAGTCTCTTGCACGGGCACTGTATTATTATTTATAGTAGCAGGAGGTTCCTTGTACTCCTTGTTGCGTCTTTTAACAACTGGCGCAGGCCCATTATCTTGGACCTTACCAGAATCTGTTTCAGTTTTAGCTGATTTATTAGTAGAAAATAGTTTGTCGTTAACATTTGGTGGTAGAACTCGTACACCAAATTTGAATCCTTTTTTGTTGTCGTTCTCCAAATCTTTTTGGGTTTTATCATCTTCTACGTTTTGGCGTTTGGAGACTTCTGGTTTTGTCGATACGGAACTTGCATGTGTTTGCTTCTTCTCGTTTTCCACAGCATATACTGCATTTCCATTGCGTTCCATTGTTGATTTTGAGTTGGTCATAGATTTTGGCGCAGAAGTGTCATCATAACTGTTTTCGGATCCATTCTTCTTCAGCGTTCCGACCTAAAGAGAAATAGGTATGAAAACTAATAACTGCATGCTGTCAATAGGAAAAATTGATATTTCTTTCTTACTACCTTATTTACATCGCCGCTGCTGTATGCTCGGTACAAAGGATGTTCCGGTCTTCCTCCGCTCGATCTTCCGGCACGAAGATTTCCGGGAGATTCTCCGGAGGCCTGTCTTTGTAACGGATGCTGCTGTTGGACTTCCAAAAGGACATCATAAGGGGCTGCAGCTCCTAAAATGCTGAGAGCATCCTGAAGGGCCATGTGGTCGAAATCGATACGGATGGAACGTAGTTTGTCACCTGGAAAATAGTAATGGACTCATAAAAATACAAATAAAAATTATGAGGAAATTAAATAAACTAGGTGTAAGTGGCATTTTGCATTAGGACAAGTTGCTTTTTTATAATTATTATTTTTTTTATAATTAATATTAACATTTCCTACCTGGTTGTATTTTTCCACTCTGGTGAGCAGGGCCGGATTGCCGTAAATAGTCGACGTATATTCCATCCCTGAGGCCGCCTCTTATGTCGAAACCCAAGCCTGTAAAATCACGTCCTTTCAATGGAACGACCCGAACCGGATAATCCTAGAAAAATATACATTTTAGTAAATATGAGTCTGTAATTATTAATAAATATATTTAATTATAATATAAATAATATATTTAATTATAATATAACTAAAATAAAATAAGTCCTATGATAAGTCGTATGAACTCTTGTGCTAATTTCTTAAATGAAGCGTTTTTTGTCAATTTGTCATATAAAGACAACTTTGAGAAAACGCCGAAAAAAGTCGAATTTGTCCTTACACACACACATAGTTTTTCGCTCATAGTGTCAAACGATTAAGAATGACTTGAAACGTCGAGATAAAATAAAAGTAGCGAATCATATTTTCTGGAAAAAATATAAACTTCTTCCTTCGGAAGTTAAATATAATTGATTCAATGTAATGTAAGTAATGAAGTACTTTTTTAAAATACAGTCAATTTCATAAGATATATTTATTTAAAAGAGATTCTAATAATCTGAATTTTACTTTTTTTTCCTTTCATTGTTGATAAATGAAATTAGAATTTTCCCAGAATTTTCCTAATCGGGGTCGCGACCCTTAGTTTGAGAAACCCGCTAAGTAACTTGTAAGAATTATACGCTTATAGTTAACATTATTAATAAACATTTAGTCTGTATTATTATGACTATTTTCAATAACTACATTATTGTCAATTTTTGCATATTTTCCTACCTTCTGATAATAAAATACAATTAAAACTTGATTTCATTAAGGAATGGATGCATATTTAAACAAACTCCTAAATACTTTATTTACACTATACAATTTTGTCTGTGATAAATTGTTAATATATTTACGCGAAGACTAAATTTTTAATAACAATAAATGAAATGTTTTAATATAAACATCAGTTTGACAGTTTGACAGCAGTGTGAAGTTATCAACAAGCCAAATTTGCAAATTTACCAAATCCTATCAGGACTGCCAATGTTGCAAATTCCTAACATTGGCAGACATGAAATTTGCATATTTGGCAATTTCAGGTAAATCCTTCTGAAAGGCGTCAGTATTTCGCAAGACTTGCACAAGAGCACATCGGGGTAGTGTTAAAAAGCAAATATTATCGGCTAGGACGCGTGCGGGATGTAAATTAATCGAATTTAATCCATTATTACGTGTAGTTTTGTGATAAGACATTTTGATTAAGATTGTACGGTTAAAGTACTGTTGAAAAATTGGCGGTTGAACAATTAACGAACTATATTTGCTCCGATGCAAGCGGATTGCAAAAAACCTCGTGCGGCGTGGGTTAAAATGGACACCTCGTGTGCGACGCGTGGTTGATAAATGTCTTGCTTTAATGTTAGTATTTTGTGTTCGGACAATTGCAATGACAATTTAGTGAAAAGTTCAGTGTTTTCTGAAGGAGCCCCAGGCGTTACAGACTCGTGTAAAGGTAAGGGTTATATTAATAATTATTTGTTTCGTATTTGCATGAAGCGTTTTACGTGATTCGGAAATCGCCAAACTAGATTATTAAGTTTGTAGTCAACTAAAACGATTTATTAAAATGTTTCAAATAGGTCTTTTATATGAGATAAAAATAATTTTATTATAATTGCCGATGGGCTTGCGTTTCAATCTCGCATAGTTTTCAATTATATTAAATTTGTGTATTATCAGTTAACTGATAATCAATTATCAATTAATCAATTGATTATCCAATAATATGATTTTATTAATACACCAATTTGACTATACTTCGTCTTATGTTTTATTGTCTGGGAACAAGGCAACAAGGGGGCCCCTAGCAAACCCCAAGCCCAGTGATGGCGCGTGCGGTTTAGCGCCGCCACTGGGTTTGCTCCAAAATATATAACATACTAGTAGTGTATGGCATTGTGCCTTAGGGCAAATTGCTGGAACTTCCCGCACCGTAACGAAATGCTCGAGAAATATTGAATGTTATCAAATAAATTATTAATAATATTGTAACATAGTCTAATATTTATAAGAATTATATAAACTGAATTGCAAAGTTTAAATTATTTATATGAAAGTATGTAAGTAAATTTTAAAACTTCAGCCAGAATTAAAATTAAATTCTGATTTATTTTCTAAATACAAAAAAAAAAATTTGAGAAAAATGAATCTAAATAATTTTTTTTCCAAAAGAATTTTTTTTGTCAAAACAAGTATAAATTTTTTTAATCATTCAAATCGGATGCTTTATTCTCTCAAAAGCTGCAATTTTTTGCACACTTAGCTCGGTATCTCTGAAATGGCTAGACCTGCCTTTGCCAAAATCTAATCAGCATATGAAGTAATGGGCAGAAAATCGAAAATGAAAATTTTTGCATTCCTCGACGTTCTGAAGGTTTCTGAACATTTTGGCATACCTCAGAAAAAATGGATGCCTGTGTGTGTATGTGTGAGTGATAGATACAATTTTTCGTCCACGTTTTCGGACGCACGGATCAACCGATTTGAATGGTTCAAAAAACATTTGAATCCTATTGATAGAGAGATGTGCTGATTAATTTTTGGCAAAGGCAGATCCAGACGTTTCGAAGATACGGAGCAAAGAGTGCAGAAAATAGAAATCGAGCATTCGATTTGAATGATCTAAAAGACGTTCAATTTGTAATGATTGGAAGAAAAAGTGATTAGTTTTTAGCAATGGCAGATACAGCCATTTCGAAGATAAAGAGCTAAATGTGCAAAAATTGTCAGATTTTGAAAGAACTAAGCATCTGATTTGATTTATTCAAACAACTTTCTGCTTGTTTCATCAAAATAATTGCTTTTGGAAAAAAAAAATTGTTTTAAAATTTTTTTTTAAGACATTTTTTTTGTATATCGAAAATAATACAGATTTTATTTTTAATTCTGACTATAGTATACTTTAAACAAATAATTTCAACTTAGCAAATCAGTTTATACAATTCTTATAAATATTAGGCAATGTTACAATATTTATAATAATCTATATGATCAAAAATTTCAATTATTCCTCATCACTTCTCCATTAAGGAGATTCCTCAATAGTTCCATATCAGATCTTTTGAAAGTTTTCTTACAAAGTCAGAAAATATTCCTTATAGCAATTTCACGAAATATTTTTTTTTATTCATTGATTTGGTTGATTATTATGTCTTTAAGGACACTTCATAATTATTTTACTTGTTGAGATGTGGTTAGTGATTTCATATATTTTATATGAAATTTGTTTAAATTGATTTAGAATTTTAATTTACTTACCACGGGTCCACTGTCGTCTACAGTTCGACGTTTGTCCTGTTTTAGGAGGGTTCCTATGGGCAACCATTTCGTCTCCAGAAGCGATTTGTTCTTGTGCTCCTTCGTTGGTGTTGCATTTTGTTCACCTGAAATATTAAAACAATTTCATTTATTAATCAATAATTAGCCAGAAGCATTCTGGAACACCTATAATTCATTTTTTTAGATTTGGTAAAATCTAAAATAGGTTATTAATTTGTTTAATTTTGATAACATTAAATATGTTATATGAATTTGAATAATAACCGAAGATACATATATTTTTGGTGGCAAATACATTTCTTATCTAACTAGTGGGGCGCATGATATCGTGCCTTAAGGCAAATTGCTGGAACTTCTTGTACCAAAATTTTTTTGAAGTAAAACTTCTTTAGGCGCGATATGGGTGTAAAAATTTTTAGGCGCGACACGGGTGTAAATCCGTACAAATGCAACGAAAATGCCAACGTGTAGTTGAACACTACGACGCCGTAAGCGCTGATGTCGCAAGTATCCACTCCCGTCATGTCATGCGTAAGTCGAGCGCTAAACCCTATATGAACTTGCATTAATTGAATCACGTTTTTTTTACAAAAGAAGAGGTTGCTGTATTATGTCCTCATGGAATAAGACTTTTCTTAGAGAATAAATGTGTCATGGAGTATAATAAATTTATACTGAATCTCGTTGAAGACAAAATAATATCTACTGCCACGGATATTTATGTAGGTTGCCATGCGACAGATCAACAATCCTACATTCGTCAGCAGTTTCAAAAAAATCGGTTATTGATACCGGGGCTTTGCCGTATGAAATAATTTTAGTTCTGAATAAATTTTACATAATAACAACTAATATTGATGTAAGTGATGGCTTAGCTAATGGTTGTGTGGGAAAATTAGTGTACATAGAACGTGGCGATAATGATGAACTTCTACGTTTATGGTTTGAATTTCCCGGTAAGATAGGTAACAAAATTAGGAAGAAAGCTTCACATCATATTCAAACTCTTAATATCAGGAGGACAGCTGTGCCGATGCTCAGGAAATCTTATTATTATTGATGTTATATGATTATTAAAAGATGATTTTTAAAATTCAAATATGATGTTTTTTTTATTTTTATCTTAATTGCCTACTCATACAATATTAAAAGTTTTACTTCAATCGCGTGTGATCCTTACGCGCACTCTTTTTAATCCATTCGTTTGCATATTTGCAAATATTTCGATTCAAATATTTTAGATAATTTTAAATGAAACAGAAGTTCAAAAACACAAAAATGTAAGTTTCAAATTTTCTGAAGATTAATAAAAGTATTTTAAAACGTAAATGTTGTGCTTTTGAAATATGTGCTACTGAAATATAGGGATACTCGATTTAGGATCTTTTTTTTAAAAAGATCAACATTTTTGAAAAAAAATTACTCTGAAAGAATTAGATTTTTGAAAAACTATAAATTTTTGACAAAAAATTACTTTTTTTAAAAAAAGACTTTTTGAAGAATAAATTATTTTGAAATATTTTGGAAATTCTGAACTTTTTTTCAAAGCAATCGTACTGCATTAGAGAACTAGAATCGTTAACTGCATAGAGATAAAATATCGAAGCGCGTAAGCGCCGCGCCGCCTTCTAACGGATGAACATTGGTACGGAACCCATACGAATGTAAACAAAATGTATACTTATTGTTAAAATCTTTATAAAATATCTGATAATTTGATATGCATATGTCTAATGATCATTTTTGACCGCCAAATGGCTTTTTTTTAGTTTTTTTCACTAAATCTCCGAAACCTGCCTTCATGAAAATTTGATCAGCTCTTCATCTTGTTAATACAAGTAAAATGTTCTTTGAATTATTCAAATCGGACGCTCCAGTTCTCTTAAAATCTGAGTTACCGTTTTTGGCCAAAATGTTTAGAAGTTGTTTAACTTCTTTTCAAACTTTAATAACTTGTTTTCAAACAAGATATATAAAAGTTTTCATTTTCGATTTTTTTTGCGATTACTATAACTTGCCCTACGGGAAGTTAATAAAGTTTTGTTTGACAAAAAAATATTTTTATTTGAATACTAATTTAAGAGTCTTCGGTAATTATTCAAATTTATATAACATTTTAAAAATTAAATAAATTCTTTAAGTCGACTATGAGTTATTGGTTCATATTTTTTATTCATCTTAAAGGTTTATTTTATCTACATTTAACGTTTTCCAATGACTTCTTATTTGAAAACGTTAATTTGTATTTCATACATTTGACATATTTCACATATTCCGTAAAATATTATTTGATATTTAGTATTATTGCCGATTTCAATGTTAATCTATTAAATATTTATTATGTTCCATTATCTACAAAACTACTAATTAAAAGCTTATAGAAAAAAAAAAATCGGGTACATTTGATGTATAAAAAAGTTTACCAAAATATGAAAATATTTTAATAACTCTTTTCTACCGGGCAATTTTTATTTTTTATAACTCGAAGAAATATGTATAAATTGTGAACGTGCTTTTTTTACAACCGAAATAAAACCTGATGATTTCTAAATTTTATTATTTGGACCTTCGGATTTTTTGTGATATTTATTCTGGTTGGATTTTGTTCAATTGAAAAAAATCTATTTTTTTGTAATTCACGTAAATTTAAATTGCGTACATTTCATGATATACAAATTTCCATTTCAATAACATCATTTGATTGCTTAGATATAATCTATATATGATTGAAATATCCTTGTATGAGCGTTCCTTGTATTAGTCGTGTATATATATATATATATATATATATATATATATATATATATATATATCACCAAATATAAATAATTTTTTAAATAAATTGTAATAACTCACCATGAAATCCTGGATTGTCGAAGGCGTAGTCATCTTTTTGAGCTTCTTTGTCATTTGGAACTAATCGTTGACCTGAAACAAATATGAACTTATTAGAACTAAAAAAAAATGTAGTACTTGATTGGAATTAACATTATAGTAAATTAACAATATAACTACATTCCATCCATTAGTGCATTCATTTTAATTAGGAATATACCTGTAATTTCAATAAGTCAAACCAAATGAGATATATAAAACTTTTAAAATACGACCATCAATTACATTCTTTTCATGTTCTCACTGTAGCCCATAGACTTACTTACTTTATTCTGATTGTTACATATAAATTTAATGAAAAAAAAATTACGTTCTTTCACATTTGATATTTATAGAAAAGCCCAGTTTATCAACAACAATACCAAACATTTGAGAACCGAGAATAATAGCGATTGTTCTATTTTTTAAATGATCCATCCAATACTTCTTAGATCCAAATCTATCTATCATATTCACATATGATATTTATAGAAAAGCCGAATTTATTAGCAAGAATTCCAAACATTTGAGAACCAAAGAATTTTTTGTCACGATCTTTTATTTTCTAAATGGACCAATACTTCTTTACGAACTTCTATACACAATCTGCAAAATTATATATAAAACATTTACAACAAAATTACAATTTTATCATATTGTAATTTATTGTCTTTTTTTTTAAATTTTAGATACTTGGATTTTAATGATCGTAAACTTGTATTCTAAAAGTTCAGTCGACTATGGTTTTTTGGCTGCAAAAGCTTTTTGCCTGCTAATTTTTCAGAAGGATTTAAAAGAACCACTGGAACTTCTACGCCTAGAAATTTTACTTCACTCTAATTCTTCTATTCTATTTTTTGTTTAACACATTAATTGCCATGTCAGTCATATATGCCTGACGCTACAACAATTTACATGAGCTATGTCCGATATAGGCGATTTGGTAGAACACTTTTTGCATTAAAAAAGATTTAATATAGTCAGGTCAGTCAGTGTTTGACACCAAAATTGTTGTTCTGGGAATTTTTGATTTTTTTTTTACTTTTCTACATTTAATAAACAATTTTTGATATTATCTTGGCGATTAACGTGTTAAAGTGGAAGTAATACTGGTAACTTATATTCACAATCACCTATTTTTTTATTTTTGATATACATGTACAATATGACCGATCCTTGATAAAAAAAATTCATAGAAACATGTCAATATTGCCAATTTTTGGAATGTTAATAGAAGATAATGTCTAGTCCCATTAGTTTATAAATTAAAAATGTTTAAAAATAAATCGTATTTCAATTTTTTTAGGTGGCTCACAATTTCTATTTTAGTCTGATTTTTCAACAACAATACTATTGCTAATAATATAATTTTTCTCTGCATTAACTGTTTTTTTTTTAAATAGGATAGCGATCCTTCTCACGCAGTCAAATAATATATACCTCTAATAAAATATAGCTGAATGTATTTTGTATAGTTTGCTATGATAAATAAATAAAAAAAAACTAAATAAAATAAAATGAAGTAACACAATATCATTTTTCCCAAATTTGTGTTCCAAGAAACCATTTTCTACTATGACCATTCCCCATGTCTCTTCCAGCAGCAAATTACAAACGTTAGATCTATATTTAGATATCGTCCTCCGCAAAAATATAATGCATGTTTACTGTTTTTATTAGTTGGGTAAGAAAATATCATTTTAAATTGTTTTCAACGTCTTAATTGCTAATAAAAGCGAGCGACTCCGAAAGCTTACTGTAAAATCTCTTAAGTGGAACAGACAGTAAGAAATATCTCTAACCGCAATTATTATTATATAAGGAGTGGTTACACATTTGTGTCATTTTTGTAGTTTGTTGTTAATTAAAATTGTTAGTAATAATAATAATTCTCTGAAATATACGGCAAAAAAAGTGAAGTAACGGGTGTACAAGTTCACTGAGGTAATGAATTGATACTAAATGTTGGAAATATCTTCAAAAATTATTCGAGGCCTATATCCTGATTCTATTTATTATTATCATTATTATTGACTTTCCGAAGAAAATCCGATTTGCTCTTGCTTTGTCGATGTTTCAAGACCTTCTGAATCCTTTGAGACCAAATTTGGAAAGATGTGTGTGTGTGTTCATGTAGAAAGATTTAAAAAAATCAATACTTCAGGGGTGAAGCCAATTTTCTCAAAATAGTATTATTTGGTAATAAATGATCTATACAAAGTTACAAAATTGAAACCAGGAAAAATTCTGAAGTGGTCTATTTTTTGGTCCACCTTTTTACAATCCTCAAAAATCATTCGAGGCGTACAAGATGTCCAGATTCTTTTATTATTATTATTGACTTCTCGAAGAAAGCCGGATTTGCTGATCTTGTTTCCTCGACGTTTCAAGTCATTCTGAATCGTTTGAGAACAAATTTGGAAAAAATGTTTGTGTGTTCCTAGGGAAAGGTTTAATAAAGGGATAAACCCAGTTTTCTCAAAAAGGTCTTAATTGGTAGTAAATGATCCACATGTACTTACAAAATTGAAACCAGAAAAAATCCTGAAGTGGTTTATTTTTTGGTCCACTTTTTTATAATCGTCAGAAATTATTCCAGACCTGACTCTATTATTATTATTATCGATTTCGCGAAGAAAGTCCGATTTGCTAAACTTGTTTTCTCGACGTTTCAAGTCATTCTGAATCATTTGAGACCAAATTTGAAACAATGTGTATGTGTTCTTAGGAAGAGGTTTGATAATGCCAGGGATTAACCCAATTTTCTCAAAATAAAATACAGAATGGTCCTGGTATTTAGTATAGAACCAACTGTATAGTAGTAACATAATTTTTGAAAATATTGTCAGGTCACACTGTTTGTACTACGACCTTAAAATTTGCACAAGTTATTCTTTGTAGTGTCTACTATGATGGCAAATAATAAAATGTAGGGAGTTTTTTTGCAAAATTTTCAGATATTTGCAATTTAGTAAAAAAAGTACAGCACTGATTTAGTACATAGTTACAAAATTGAAACCAGAATAAATCCTAAAGTAGACTATTTTGTGCTTCACTTTTTTAAAAATCTCCAGAAGTCCGATTATATTATTACTATTATTTATTGACTTCTAGAAAAATTTCAGATTGTTTTCTTGACGTTTTAAGTTATTCTGAATCGTTTGTTACAAAATTTGGAAATATGTGTGTGTTCTGAGGAAAAGGTTTAATGATGTCAGAGATGAACCAAATTTTCTCAAAATGGTTTCAACTATTAGCAAATGATTTTTATATAGTTCCAAAATTGAACTTAGAAAAAATCCTGAAGTAGCATAATTTCTGCTCCACTATTTTATAAAACTTCTACTTCTCTACTTGTGTTTACATCAGCAACCTTCTATTTGACAACCATCATGGTTCTTAAAAGATTACAATTACATAATTATCTCATTGTAAACAGAACCGTGCTGATAACAGACAAATATTTACCAAACAAAAAATAGAAATATGAGGCAGAACCGTGTTTGCTAATTAATTTAGAAGTCAAACAAAGTTAAGTCGCCCATGATGATGATGATGATGTTACTAGGTCAACTACATATTAAATTATAAATCTCGGAATGGTTCATTAGACATGTACAATTGTACATGTCCAATGTTGTACAAGCTCTAAGTTTAATTTTATATTTTTAACACGATTTAATTGATACAGAAATATATTGTAGAAATGAGCCATGTTAAATAACTTTTGTATTAATTAACCAGCATTGGAGCACAGTTGTTTAATCAATTTATGTACTAAAAAATCTTATTTTCCTTGCAAGTATTTATTATTTATGCATTTGTTTAACTAATTTGTGCAAAATTAATGGTTAAAAAAGTATTTTTTTGGTGATTTGAAATTAGAAAAAGTTCATTTGAATTAAGATGAAATTCAACAAAGTCTATATTTAGAATTTTAAGGATAAAAAGTTTTACCGATTGTTTAAAATTCAAAATTACCAAATGTAACCATAGTCATAATAAAAAAATTAATGAATAATAAATTCACATATTTAAGATTGATATCTCCAAAGTCTATACTATTTTGTTTTAATTTAAAAAAAATACAAATATGAATTGGTAATTTTTAAAGTCGCAAACCTAATATTTAAAGAAATCTGTACCACCTGATATTTTAGATCGGCTAATTATAAAATTTAAAAAAACAGGAAAACCAAAAGCACAATTGGAATTTTGGAAATATTTTTAGTTTCGAATATTGTCATTTTTTCTTAAAATTTTCAACGAGTTTTTAGGTGGCAATAAGTTTTTAGGTGGTGAGTGTGTTCCTTATTTTTAGATGGTTTCACATGAATTTTTTGGTTTGCTGATGTATTAACAAATGTTTACAATCTTTTGTTATTGAGTAGTAGTCAATTCTGCTACCAATAAGCAAAAAAAGTTTTTTTTATAGATTTCATAGTTCTCGTTTGGTTTTTGTTTTGTTAAAAGATTTATTGCCATTTTTTGCTTTTTTATTTCTGCAAAAGATAAAAAAACATATCAAGTTCACAAAAAGTGATCTGCTGTTTATGGCAAAAGCCTTTGAAAAAAGCAGTGTCAAGATTGGTTTTCCAAATTTCATTCTGATGATTTTCAACTCAGAATTGAAAATGATCTGGTTATTCAGTTGAAGTTGATTACAAATGTTTTACAAAGTGTATTACAAAATACCAAATGAATCTACTTGGAATCCTTCAATTCTGATATCTACATTAGCAATTAAAAAGACCACATAACGAAATTAAAAAGGTAGTTGAAAAATAGCATTCTGAATTGACAAGTCGAAAAGGTGATGTGTTCCAACATTGACTCACACATCTTAAAAATTATTAGAGCTTGGTTGGGATATTTTGCCATATCCACAAAACAGACCTGACCTTGTATTGTCTAGTTGCTTTTTGTTTCAATTTTAACAAAATCTCTTGATTGGCAAATAATGACTCAGATGGTGTCAAATAGATGGTGTCAAACTGATTCATTTGTTTGATAATCAAAACCAGAAGTATTATGAAAGTGTGATAATGATACTG